CTGGGCTGAGCTGAGCTGGGCTGGACTGGGCTGAGCTAGGCTGGTCTGAGCTGAGCTTGGCTGAACTGGGTTGAAATGGCTTGAACTGAGTTGAGCTGGGCCGAGCTCAGTTGAACTAGGCTGAGCTTGGTTGAAATGAGCTGGGCTGGGCCGGGCTGGGCTGATCTGTGGCGGACTGGGTTAGTGCCTGAGGTGAACAGGGGACAGTGGGTTGATCATGGTCACCCCCAGAGCCCTGGTTTCCAGCCAGACAGCCCCCTCTGTTTCTCGGGGGCGCGCAGGGCCATGTAGCCTCAGGGTGCAAATGTGGTGCTCCCCTCTCCCCTCACCAGTTGACCGGAAGGGAACTGTGAAAGGTCAAGGGCAGACCGTGCCCTCTGTAGCCCAGCTGTCCAGGGTGCATCCCAGAAGGACTGATTTGGAACTGGGCCTCCAGCCTAAAGTTCCCCATAGTCCATGGAAGTCAACTGCTAGTTTAGGAGGATGGGGTCGGGGGTGGGGGGTGCTTTGTAGGGGGAGATGGTTGGACTGGGACTTTTACCCAGGAAGTGGGAGGGGGGACATAGAATTCTCAGGCCCCCTCTCCTCCCCAGCTTGAGCCCCAGGACAGACAAACTGGCCCCCATGCAGACTCAGCTTCAAGCTGTCTGTCTTTTCTCTGCCCTCTCTCTGGGCCCATTTCTCACGATACCCCACACCCTGGCGAAGGGCATGACCGTGCCCACTGCACAGAGGGCAGCTGAGGCTCCGACAGTACACACAGACTCAGCTGGTCAGTGGGAGAGCCGTGTGCAACAGCCAGGCCTCACGTCTGAGGAGCGTGTGTGGTCCACATGCTCAGAGTCCCAAGGAGCGCGTTCAGAAATGGCTCAGCTGGACTCAGGTGGCCACTGCCGACCCCGGGTGCGCCGCGTACAAGCTGCGTGACCTTGGGGCAGTCACTGACTCTCTGTGTGTTAAGGAAACGCAGGCGTCGTCCTGCCCTCATGGGGCTGTGTTGGGCATCTGGTCAGCGTGAAGGCTGCCATCTCACAGCACACCATGTGTTTCAGTGCCTGAAGCCAGCCCCAGACTCTTCCCACTGAGCCTAAGGAGCGAAAACTCAGCCGGGCAGGTGGTCATTGCCTGCCTGGTCCAGGGCTTCTTCCCGTCAGAGCCACCGAAGGTGACCTGGAGCCAGAGCGGCAATGACGTGTCCATCAGGAACTTCCCCCCTGCTCAGGCCGGGGGCCTGTACACCATGAGCAGCCAGCTGACCTTGCCAGCCAACAAGTGCCCAGCCGACAAGTCTGTGAAATGCCAAGTGCAGCACCTCTCCAAATCCAGCCAGACCGTGGACGTGCCCTGCCAAGTTCCCTTCCCATTTCCCTGCCGAGGTCAGAGGGCAGGCTGGGGCGGGTCCCCCATGGTGCCACCCTGACCCAGCTCCCTGACTGCATCCCTGTGGGCACTCCCCTCAGACAAGAGGTGGCTGAGGCCCGGCGGGTGGCCAAGAGGGCCGTGGGCTGGGGATGGAGGCCAGGAAGGCGGATGGAGGGGCTCGCTGACCTGCTCTGGCTTCTCTCTCAGGTCTACCTAGGCCGTGTTCGTGCAGAAATCCCAGCCTGTCCCTGAACCCACCGGTCCTTGAGGACTTGCTCCTGGGCTCCAATGCCAGCCTCACATGTACGCTGAGTGGCCTGAGAGACCCCAAGGGCGCCTCCTTCACCTGGAACCCGACAGGTGGGAAGAACGCCATCCAGGAGCCGCCCAAGCCTGACTCCTGCGGCTGCTTCAGTGTGTCCAGTGTCCTGCCGGGCTGCGCCGATCCCTGGAAAAACAGACAGTCTTTCTCCTGCACCGCCACCCACCCCGAGTCCAAGGGCTCGCTAACCGCCACCATCACGAAACCCTCAGGTGGGCCCTGACCCGCGAGTGGGCGGCTGGGCACTACACAGTGCGCGAGGCGCACTCCTGAGCCCACTCCACCCTCCAGCTCCCGCCCACCCCCCACACGGGTTGCCCAGGGGGCAGGGGGCACTCTCCTCCCTGCCCAGACCCCTGACCCTGCTCTCTGCCCTCCAGTGAACACGTTCCGGCCAGAGGTCCACCTGCTGCCGCCGCCGTCGGAGGAGCTGGCCCTCAACGAGATGGTGACGCTGACGTGCCTGGTGCGAGGTTTCAGCCCCAAGGATGTGCTGGTGCGGTGGCTGCAGGGCAACCAGGAGCTGCCCCGCAAGAAGTACCTGACCTGGAGGCCCCTGCCTGAGCCCAACCAGAGTGTCCCCACCTTCGCCGTGACCAGCGTGCTGCGCGTGGATGCCGAGGCCTGGAAGCAGGGGGAGTCCTTCTCCTGCATGGTGGGCCACGAGGCCCTGCCCCTGGCCTTCACCCAGAAGACCATCGACCGCCTGGCGGGTAAACCCACCCACGTGAACGTGTCTGTGGTCATGTCGGAGGTGGACGGCGTCTGCTACTGAGCCGTGCCCCCGCCCCACCCGCCCCTTGAATAAACTCCATGCTCACCTGAAGCAGCTCTGCGCTTCCCTCCGGCTGCCTATCTGTCCGTGCTCGGGGTCTGCACACGCCAGGAGGGGGCAGGACCCAGGAGGAAAGAGCAGCTGCTGCCCCGACTTTCTCTAGACCTTGGTTTCCCCTCAGCCTGACGCCAGACGTGCCTTCATGGCTGTGCGCGAGTGTGAGCACAGGAGTGAGCGTCGAACTGGGGCTGAGATGTGCGAGACAGGCACAGCCTCCTGGGTCCTGAGAAGAGTGGCCCCAGGATGGTTCCCAGGGGCAGGTGACTTGGTCACTTGTATTTCAGGAAACTGCCTCTAGGGGCAGCCGGGAGGCGTGAGCGAGGGAGAGGGGAGCCTGGCGGCCAGAGAAGGGGCTGGTGCCATCACGCAGAGGGGGGCTTACAGGAGGAGTGGCGAGGGCAGAGGGCTGGATTCCAGGGGCCCTCTGTGGGCACAGCGCACAAAAGTGCAGGACGGCCCCACTGACCGCACGGAAAGGGGGCCACCCCACCTGGGTACAGCCTTCCCCACCCCACATCCCACTGCTCTGCACATGTACACAGGGGCGCGCACACACATGCACACGTACTCTCATATGTGTTCGTGGTCACGCACGCGGGCACACGTACACACACACACACACACACACACACGTCTGAGCCCTGCAGGTGCAGGAAGTTGACAGCCCAGAACCAGCTCCAGGAAGGCAAGAGGAGTCCCCACCCAAGCTCCCAGAGGGTTTTCCCCAGGCCCAGACCTGCTGCCTCAGGTCCCTCCAGGCCTCAGGCCTCCCTGTGTACCCAGCTGGGCACAGTTCAGGGATCGATTGGAGAGACCCCTCTCAGGCATCACCTGCTCCCCACTTGGTCCACAAATTCAAGTCTCCCAAACCACAGATGGGGTGGGCGGCTGGGGTGGAGAGGGGTCAGAAGAGACAGCTCTCACCCAGGGCCCCTAGACAGCTTCTGCTCGGAGCTCCTGGCAGGAGGGAAGGTCAGGGAGACCAAACCTAGAAGGACAGTCCCGTGACCACCATGGGACACCTGCACAAGGGCTCCCACAAGGGGGCAGCGGGGCCCCTGCTCTTGTTTAGACACCTTCTGGGCCTTCCCAGGGGACCTAGCCTTCTGGCTGCCTCTCTCTGCTTCCAGGGCCAAAGTGGGGTGGACACCCCTGCCCACCCTGGCCACTGCTCCCCTCTTAAGGGTCCAGTCACCAAAGGGCAATGGGGGGAGCAATGGATTAATTGGGGAAGTGCTGCCACAGAGAAGGTGGTCCAACCACCAAGGGACAAAGACCTGCCCACAGGAGGAGCTTTCTAAAGAGAGGGGGAGGCAGAAGAGACAGTAGATGAGGGTGGAGCCAGCAGATGGACAGCACAGACAGGTGGATGGGTCACAGGACATATGATGGATGGAAAGATGGACAGACAGGTGGATGGATGGATGGATGGATGGATGAACGGATGATCGAAGAGACAGATAGATGGATGAACAGATGGACAGATGGAAGGACAGAGAAGTGGATGGATGGACCGAAGGACAGATGGGGTGTGGATGGATGAATGAGTAGATGGACAGATGGATAGATTGGCAGGTAATTGAATGGTTACATGGATGGATGGATGAATGGACGAATGATTGGATGTGTCAGCATATAACAAGCTGGTCCAAATCCCATTTAACATGGGAGGTCTATGCCCTGGGACCCTGAAGACAGCAAGGTTGCCTGTGTTGGTGGCTCTCACCTGGGCCTTTCTCATGCTCCTTGTAGCTTATGAGCCACTTCCTGGGACAGCAACAGAGCCCCTTGGTCTTGTCCATCTGGCCCTTGGCACAATGAACCACAGACCCAGATCTATGTCTCTACCTGGAGCACCCTGAGGGTGGGCATGTCTGATCTTCTCTGGTCCCATCCAGGGCCCAGGCCAAGAAGGTCCAAGAGCAAGGGCTTGCTGAGTTCACAAGTAGGGCTGGGATCCAGGAGGCCTTGGGCTTGAGCTCTCCTTGCAGCAGCAGAGACGGTGCCCACCCTCCTGCCCTGCCATGTCCCTCTCTCTCTCTGAGGTGCCCTGAGACCCCCAGAGATAGGAGTCCTGAGGGTGCCTCAAGAGCTGCAAAGTCCAGCCCCTTCCCTGGGCACCTGCTCTCTCACCCTCCAGGAGGCAGCCTCAGACCTGAGACAGGGCACCTGCACCGCCAGCGTCCCCACCCTGAGATCTCCCAGCGGGGAGGGCACTGGCTCGACCCGCACTCACGCAGACCCGGACCTCGCAGGCCTGCTGTGTCTTACAGATCACCGGGACCCGCTGCCCTGGCTGGTGCTGGACCTGCCGTGGGAGGGCCCCGAGGAGGACAGCCCGGAAGCCAGCCTGTGGCCCACCACCATCACCCTGCTCGCCCTCTTCCTGTTAAGCCTCTTCTACAGCACGGCACTGACTGTGACTAGCATCCGGGGCCCGCCTGGCAGCCGAGGGGGTCCCCAGTACTGACCAGGAGCCAGCCGGGCACAGGTGGGAGATGGACAGATGGGGGTGGATAGATGAAGGAGAAGAAGGTCCAGCAGCTGGCTGAGGGGGGCAGGAGGGCCCGGCTCCAACACAGCTCCCCTGTCCCTCCTGATGGGGGTCTGGCCTACAGAGAGGCGGCCCCCCCACAGACCTTGAGAGCTTGGGCAGGGCTAGGGGCAGAGCACGGATGTGCCCCAGCAGTGTCAGGGCATCAGATTCCCTGGGTGTGGCTGCCACGGGATTCCATCCAGTCTATGGGAGCCAGGCCATGGTGGGGAAGGACCACTGGCAAGGACGCTACCCACCTCTGGAGGCCCCCAGGCCTGACACCTCTCGTGTTTGCAGGGAGGAAACGTGAGGAGCCTCCTGAGAGCCCAGCTGGATGCCAGAACTCAGCGCTGCTCAGAAGCCATGTGCGCACCCACAAAGGCCTTCCTCGTGCAATAAATGATCCCAAAGGCAGAAGTTCTCAAACTCTGAATGAGGGGAGGGGGAGGAGAGGGGCAGAGGCTCTGAAGACAAGGATGCCGGCCCCACGGCCCATGGCAGGGTCTCAGGGGTCTGGACACGGGCCCCTTGCCTAGAACTCATCAGCTGGTCCTGTGGTCGTGCAGGCTCACGGCAAGTGCTGGGCTTCACAAAAGAGAAAGTAAAGCAAGTCCTCTCACAGTAACGACACCCAGAGCGCTGGGCCTGCCCCCTGAGCCCTGGTCCTGATCACGGGGCCCTGGTCCTGACCACTGGGCCCTGGGCCTGACCACTGGGCCCTGGTCCTGAACACTGGGCCCTGGTCCTGACCACTGGGCCCTGGGCCTGATCACTGAGCCCTGGGCCTGACCACTGGGCCCTGATCCTGACCACTGAGCCCTGGTCCTGATCACTGAGCCCTGGGCCTGACCACTGGGCCCTGGTCCTGACCACTGGGCCATGGTCCTGATCACGGGGCCCTGGTCCTGACCACTGGGCCCTGGGCCAGACCACTGGGCCCTGGACCTGAACACTGGGCCCTGGTCCTGACCACTGGGCCCTGGGCCTGATCACTGAGCCCTGGGCCTGACCACTGGGCCCTGGTCCTGACCACTGGGCCCTGGTCCTGATCACGGGGCCCTGGTCCTGACCACTGAGCCCTGGTCCTGATCACTGAGCCCTGGGCCTGACCACTGGGCCCTGGTCCTGACCACTGGGCCCTGGTACTGATCACGGGGCCCTGGTCCTGACCACTGAGCCCTGGTCCTGATCAC